CTAAAAATCTATACTTTAAAAAGGACTCAGATGAAGTGGCATTAACGACTAGGAATAATTTAAAATCACGCCATTCTCGCTGTATACGTAATGAGGACTGATTAATTAATCTCTGACATAATGAGGGCTAATTGATTAGCCTTCACTACATTTCCTGCTATTTAAAACGCCATTCCCAAGACGCATTTGATTGCTGATATTAATGTATTAACGAAAAAGCTGATCAATTATTTATAACTGTTCTTCATCTTCGATATTTCAACATTTCCAGCATTGCTCTAACTCAGGGGTCTCCAAACTACGGCCCGCGGGCCGAATGCGGCCCGCGAGGTCCTCTCATCCGGCCCGCGGAGATCTTTTTGTCCACGGAAAAAACGTTTGTTGGTGATGCCTGAGGAACTTTGCCCAGAAAAATCAAAGACATGCCTGGAAGAAACTGGCCCCCGAACTGAAATTCGATAGTTAATGCGGCCCTCGGACTGAAAAGTTTGGAGACCCCTGCTCTAACTAGATGTGACCGACGGTTGAAGTCAAATAAATGTTCGTTTTAAGATTTATTTTAATATGTATCAACATAATAAAAGATGGATGGGTGTAGTTTGGGGTTATGTCCCGTTTATAACACTCCAATATACATTTAATGCACTGATTTGTTGCTAAGTTTTGTCATCGTTATCTAAACAAATCCTCATAACATAAATCTAACCCCGCAACTAACTTTTAAGCACTAGAGTATTCTTCAGTACAGTATACTTCACTACATTATACAGTGCTATAGTATATTCACTAGAGTATGCTACTCTGGAGTATACTACTCTAGAGTATACTTCACTATAATATACAGCCCTGGAGTATACAAAACTACAGTATACAGTATCCAGCACTTCAGTATACAACACTAAAGAATACAGCACTAGAGTATACAGCACTAAAAAATCAGCACTGCCGTATACATCACAAGAGTATAAATCACTAGAGTATACAATACTTATGTAAGAAGAAATACCAGTGATGACGATAATTCGTATTACAATCTGACAATACATTGTAAGATTGGGACTCGGCGATGTAGTCATCTATTTTGGTGCTACTTTTTCGCCGCTTCGGTTTACGTTTGAGCCGGTAGATAGGATAGAAGGACCGGCACAAACTGATCACATCCTACAGTAACCCCAGTGACATCCCCTAACATTTGAGCGATGTCTCGTTTAGGTCTAAGTGCATGAAATCAATGCCTGTTATTTGTGAGTGAAGCAGTAAAACAAACTTCTCTGTCTGTCTGTCAAGATAAATCAGTCCCAATGTCTGCATTAGTCTGTGTAACGTCTACTAATGTCTTCACGGTAACTAAATTCTGCCTCACTCTGAAAAAAGGTCTGCATTATTTGCATTTTAACCTGTATTCTTATTTCGCCGTCTTCTGATGTAAATTTCTGTATACGACGTCACCAAGAACGAAAGCACCCTTCACTACAGCTGAGAGCATGTCTAAAAATAGCACCCAGTTAGCCAAAGTCACGTGGCGTGGTTTTTTCGTCCGTGTAATGTGGACATTTTGTCGGCTAATTTCCAAGGGGAGGGAACCCGCCGGTTATCCAGCTTGACACGAAAATGGGCCTGATTGTTATTCCTGGTCAATGTGTTCAAAATTCTGCTTCAAGCCTGCGTCTGCTAGCGTCAAGATTTATCTTCTCTTGGCCCCTCTAATCAAGCCCCCGGTAGAGAGAATTTAATGGCTTCGTTAATATACGGCTTCTTCAGCTGGGAAATTGTTCTGGCTTTCTGCTGATAGATGATTTTAGACAGTAGATGGCTTTTAGCCGATGTATGATTTTAGCCAATGGATAGATTTTAGCCGATACATTATTTTAGCCATTAAATAGCTTTTAGCTAGTAGAGAGCTTATAACTTGAGACGGATTTCAACTGAGATATATTTTGTTTTGTTGGTAGATTAATTTTAGCTGGTTTAATAATTATTTATTAGACATATGGGTTTATACTGGCTAATGACTTTTGGGAGACTGATGGTTTTGTTGTTGTTAGTCCCTAATAGATGGGTGTTGATATTTAGGTTTACAGTCGGTGATAGAATTTCACATACAGGACAGAGGCGTCACAAGGCTGAGTGGCTGGGGGTGGGGGTAGGGCTTGAGGTCCGCACGGGGGTAACGCCATTTCGGGGGTGGCGCCAAATAAAAAAAATGAAAAAAAGGGATTTTTTTTCTATTAAAAACAATGGTTTATCCTGTTTAAATATTAAAATAATTAGGGAGAGATTATATCAAACTGAAAATGGAAAAAGGAAGGGGTGGGGGGTGACAACCCCAAATACCCCACTGGGTGACACCCGACCTAGTGACGCCACTGGTCGACAGCAGCCAAAATTAATGAAAGAAAATCTGAAATTTTCAACATCCGGAGTTAAAGAAAGACCAAGAAAACAAGGCCGCCATCAGCCATTTCCGGTTACCGCGGTCCTTCTAAAAATATTGACCGCTCGAAACCACGGGAGTCCTTCCCCCACCCCCCTTTTTTTGACGACGTCATACCATGTTGTTTAACACAGCCCCCCCCCTCCCTCTTCCATCAGAACATTAGAAATGTAATTTCAAAACTGCTGGGAACGCTTCGTTGCTATGGTAACCGAAACTCATTACGAAAAAAGTAGTGTTGAGGGAATGAACATCTGCCTCTTGAAGTAATGTTTCAGTTATTGACACATTTCGGTCGTTAGGGTCTAGACTAAACAAAGGTCAAGCACCACTTGGACCTGAGGGGTCAACTGGTTGGACACAGCTTTTGTTGCTGAGCTCTTCACTTGCTCCCCCCCCCCCCCCCACTGGACGCCAGGTAGAAATTAATTACTGGGGTTTTAGAACTTTAGGTTTTTGTGACAGTATTCAAACTTTTTATTTTGTGTATACCAAATACCAAGAACCCCCCCCCACCCACCCCAGCCGTTAGTGTAAATTTAGACATACCGATCTGCCTTAGAATTGGGTGGTGATTTAGACCAAACTACCATGTTTTTGACAAGACCTAAGATTTTTTGACTTACAATTGTGGCCAGGATAGATAACCACGATAATGATAAAACAAAAAGAGTTATAGCTGGCCTGTCGTCCCACGGGGACACAGGACACCAACAGGTCACCCCCCCCCCCTCACCCCTCGGGCTACTCGGTTCAGACAGGAAATATTTCACATAACACAACTGATAAACATTACTGGATAAAGTACGATGGGCAAGACATTTCACATAAATACAACTGTCGACTATACTAAAGATTCAACTTTTTGGGCTCAAATTCGTAACACGTACATCACAATACACCACAATACATCACAATACATCAGAATACATCACACTACATCACAGTACATCATAATACATCACAATACATCACAATACATTACAATACATCACAATACATCACAATACATCAGAATAAATCACAAAACTTCACAATACATCAAAATACATCAGAATACATTACAATACATCACAGTTCATCACAATACATCACAATACATCAAAATACATCAGCATATATCACAATACATCACAACACATCAGAATACATCATAATACACCACAATACATCACAATACATCACAGTACATCACATTTCATCAGAATACATCAGAATACATCACAATACATCACACAAACTCATACATCCACGGCACAACATGTGCATTTGTATGATATTCTAGCATACAACATATTCTTGATATTGGATGGACGGTGGTGCAGTGGTGGAAGTTTCACATGAATCAGGTTTTACTATAGTCAGTGGGAATATATCCACCTTCTTTTTAAAGAAATTGTTTTCATCAACTCACTCCTACAACCCTAAATGACACGTAGCCTCATTTGGAAAAACCCCAAAAGTCACACGGTCTCACTCCGTTAACCCCTAATGACACATGTCCTTACTGCGACAACCGCAAAATAAACATAACCTAACCCAGACAACCTCAAATAACCCATTTTATCCGACAACCCAAAATGACAAATGACCTCCGTCAACCCCAAATGACACATCCGTCTGTCGGAGTTCAAGAGGAAGACATTGACACTCTTGGCCAAGTCGTCTGCTGCAAGTGTCCAATGATGGCAGCCATTGTACACATTGGGATCGAGATATGACAACCGTTTTATTGGCGTAATTTGATGTCAGTTGTAAACAGATGAGTGATGTTGAGTGCTGGTGTTTTATCTCAGGTGTTTTGTGTCAGGTGTTTTATCTCAGGTGTTTTGTGTCAGGTGTATTATCTCAGGTGTTTTATCTCAGGTGTTTTGTGTCAGGTGTTTTATCTCAGGTGTTTTGTGTCAGGTGTATTATCTCAGGTGTTTTATCTCAGGTATTTTATCTCAGGTATTTTATCTCAGGTGTTTTATCTCAGGTGTTTTATCTCAGGTGTTGTGTGTATAAACTGTTGACGCTGATATCCTGTAGCTCTCATACATCAAATAAACGTGTAGTGTCCTGCATGCGTATTGACCAACTCGTGACCTATGCATGTATTGTAAAACTAGTGGCTATGTATATTACAGTTATTCTTTAGTCTTTCCGTGTGTCTAATATATCATGTCATAATCCTTGTGTCCAGTATATCATGTCCTAGTCCTTTTGTCCTGTATATCATGTCCTACAGCCTATAAGCACTGTCTATTAAGACAAGCATTGACATGGTTTTGTCAACTTTCAAAACAAAACTTTCTCCAATAAAATCTCTCGAAATCTCCTGTACTCCGTGTATGTAGTGTGTTATTCCGTTATTTTTAAAAACTTCTCATCTGTTTCAAGTTGCCCACGATATTTCACAATAACTTATCCTCTATGTATTATTGAATTACAATTATTCATCTTACCTGAAGATTAAATGTTATTTTTTTTCCCTACTAAAACGATTCTAAAACTGCCGTTTAATTTAATGTGAGTTTATTCTGGTATATTTTATTTCAAAGTATGACTCATTTCGATATTTCAGGTGACGTCATACGCTGTTATAAATCAACCCTGACCCTCCAGTGCTACGAGTTCAACTTGGATTTTTATATTTGACCAGTCCATTCTAATACGGTTTGTGACAAGTCAAACATGACTTCACTCGCGTCAAACTTTACCGTGGATTTGACTTTCACACAGTCAGATGACTGTCCTTGCTGGATATGACTTGTACGCAGTCAAGTGATGTCATAGTTTGGATATGACTTTAACGGGTGAGTTGTAATTAATTAATGTCGAGTGTGAAATAATGTCAACATAGATGACATATCCCAAATGACATATCCCAAATGTCATGTGTCATACAAACAACACTTTATATCATATACAGACTGGCCAACACTAACCATTAAACCCAGATATACCAGTAGCAGATTCCTTTAGCTAATTGAACAAATGTTTTTTGTCATATAATTCTTTTATATTGTTAAATTTATACATTAAAAAAAAGGTAAATAAATTGTGGTTATTTTAAATTAATGATTTAAAAAAAAGCTATTTAATTCGAGAATTTTTAATAAAAAATCTGAATTATCTTTTAATTACTAAAAATGTCTTCGTTGATTTAATTGTTTATCCATAATTTTTTATGGTATTAGAAACTATAACGCTCCAGTACAATTGTACATAGCTAAATAACTCAGTTTTATGATAGTTGATTTGTTTTATTTTGATTTAAGGTTCTATAAAAAAATATTAAAGATGACAGAGAGATTGTCTTTTAAAAAATAAAATGGACAGTTTATTTTAATTAACCGTTTTGTAAATATAAATAATTATTCGTTTTTCTATTAAGTTAAATACAAAGGCTATGTGGATAACAATGTTTTATTAGATAAATTCACCAAAACGAAACATAACATCGCTGCTCTTATCAACAGTCACAGTAATAAATCAAACGTTATAGTTTTAATCTCACACCGCATTAAAAGTAGAAATAAACAAATGTTCAATATCGACTTTTAAAAAAAAAATCATTAAACCCGTTGTTTTTTTCCTTCAACGGGCTAGCTTTACTACTACTAACACAATGGCCCTCAGAGATGTGGGGATAAACGTACAATCAATGTTGGTATTGTTCAGCCGCCGTTTTATTTGTTATTGATAATTTAATTAGGCCACGCTGAGTGACAGGTGGCCGTTGGTAGGCTGATGGTCGGGTGTTGGCTTAAAACTATCGCCGGAGTTGTATGGGGTCGGTGCGAGTTTGAAAGGCAAAAATCAATTGCACCTACGGTGGATTGATTTAAAGTCATTCATCGCGAGCAGGATGTGTTTGTGTAGCAAGTAGCATAGGCTAGCGATGTTGCTACAGTTGTAGCAAGTAGCATAGGCTGCGGCTGTTGCTACAGTTGTAGCAAGTAGCATAGGCTACGGCTGTTGCTACAGTTGTAGCAAGTAGCATAGGCTACCGCTGTTGCTACCATTGTAGCAAGTAGCATAGGCTACGGCTGTTGCTACAGTTGTAGCAAGTAGCATAGGCTACCGCTGTTGCTACAGTTGTTCAGGTAGCATAGGCTACCGCTGTTGCTACCATTGTAGCAAGTAGCATAGGCTACGGCTGTTGCTACAGTTGTAGCAAGTAGCATAGGCTACCGCTGTTGCTACAGTTGTTCAGGTAGCATAGGCTACCGCTGTTGCTACCATTGTAGCAAGTAGCATAGGCTACCGCTGTTGCTACTCTGCTACAAACAGCTCTCATAGCTTGACAGAACAAAAACATAACCGTTATTTTTATAGCTATGTATAACACACTTAGTAAAACCTACTTTCACAGAAATATATATATATATATATATATATATATATATATATATATATATATATATATATATATATAACACACTTTGTGAACCCTACTTTCACAGAAGTTTTGGTAAACCCTGCTTTCAGAGAAATTTATAACAAATTTTAGTAAACCCTACTTTCACAGCTATATATAACACATTAAACCCTATTTTTACAGGTATATACAGCAAACTTGGTAAACCCTACTTTTAGAGCAATATATAACACATTTTAGTAAACCCTACTTTCACAGCTATATATAGCAAACTTAGTAAACCTTACTTTCCCAGCTATATATAAAAACTTAGTAATCCCAACTTTCGGAGCTATATATTACAAAGTTTTACTAATTGACATCACAACTAACTATAATTCCAACTGATTAAGTAATGCCATAACTAATCAAGTATTGCCACATAAATTAACTAATTGGTGAAGGCGTGGTTGAACGGTAGAGCTTACCACAACTAACCCGATAGTCTGGAGTTCGTTATGACGTTCCTGTGTCCACATAGCTGTGATGGGTTCCTGACTAAAGTTAGGGAAACAAAGGCGGCTGGGCATAGTGTTGACCACACTATCCCCTTATGTCGGGATCTCTGAAACAGATGAACTCTACTTCATCTGCCCAATTCGCCCTGGACACAAAAGGGAAATTAACTAATTTAGACAAGCGTCCACGACAGTATGATGTTTTGTAGACAACATCCTCATCTTTACTGCTATAACCCAGGCCGTCAGTAAACCCTCATGTGACTCTAAAACCCTTTGTGACCGTACACAAGATTCTCGTATTGTGAACACGAGATTTACCAGACGTCGATTGTTTTCCGAGCTTTGAGACACATCTATCAACCAGCTGTTTACGTTACGAGGTAATAAAGAACAACACACGATATTAAAATAAAAATCGTTGCAATCTCTCTAGATGACCAGACTAGCGTATCATATAAACCCTTGTTTAAAGTTAGACGTATGTGACAACTCTACCTTTTACATTAAAACAACAACAGCAAATAAACTTAAGCATTTCTTTAGTGGAAGCAACTGCTCCTGCTAAAATATAGAACCTTTGAAGTCAATGTCTATTTCTGTTAAAAATTAGAGCCTTCCTCATAAGTGAGGTAACTTTTCCAGTTATATTAGGCAACTGTTCCTTAAAAAGACAGATATTTCCATATAAGGGAGGTAACTGTTCCTGAAAAAGACAGAATTGTCCCTGTAATGTATGCTGTTTCTGTACAAAAATAGAATGTGGTGTGTAAAGGTGGGGTTGGGAGGGGGGAAAAGGGGAAACTGTCCCTGTTTCAAATCAAAACCACGTTAAAAGGGGACAACTATCAACTTGTCATCAAAAGATGGGTAAATAAAATCGTGTGTGGATTCTGGGATCAGGTCGTCAAACACTGGGCATATAGAGTCTAGAATCCCAATTTGTCTGTTGTCTTGATCTGTGGATCTGCGGGTAGACAAGGTGGGGGGGAAGGAGTGTAGATGGGGCGGGGGGGGGGGGTAGCCTTAAAGCTGGGGAGATGAAGGGATCTGAGCGGTGAAGATGTGTTGGGTATGTGGTGTGTGTAAATCGTTGGATGATAGCAGTTGTAAGGCTGTTGTTGTTGTATGCGGATTGGCTGTGTGCGGTGTGTTTTGATGGGGTGTTAGTGTCAGAACACATTTAGACTGTGGGTGGTTTAATGTGTGTGTGTATGTGTGTGTATATGTGTGTATGTGTATGTGTGTCTATGTGTATGTATGTATGTGTGTGTATGTGTATGTGTGTGTATGTGTATGTGTGTGTGTGTGTTATGAGAACGGTAATTTTGTTGCTTACTTCTATCACACTTATTGTTCTGTGTTGTCAATGAGCGGTAGATTTTCTACAAGTAACGTTTTGGTGTGAAGTTATACGCAACTTGTCCATGCTTTAATTAAAACGTCACGTACAAATAAGGATTGATAATTAAACATTTATGAGGGATTTAAAAACAAAGATGTTTTGTCAATAAAAGTTTGGATTTATTAAGTTGAAAGACAAGCATTGTATATTCTCATATTTCTATATTGCATTTTTATCTACGCGTTTTATGTTTATTGTTTTTTGGACTGAAATGTTCAAGGAAACGTAAAACGTTTATGGATATTGGTTTAGTCAAAACATCAAATTATAACATTTAAGAATAGAAACTTCTATATTCTGCCAATATACATCAAGGTGATTTTTCAGTGTCTTTATCTTTACGAATAACATTTAAAATTAGGAGCATCTCTAGAAAAAAACAACATTTAATAATTGAGTAGAAATTGTTTTTACATAATGAAAATAGATTGTTTTTTTCATGTGATGGATGGGGCGTTCTCTCTCTGTCACTACCCCCCCCCCCCCCTCCACCAGCCCCATCCCAGACACAACAAGGCAAACAGCTGTCATTTGATCCATAATTATTCTCCTCTGATTGACGTAGAGCCACGGATCAAACGGTGTAATCAGCTCACATCTCCCTAACAACACTCAAGTTGTTCACCCCCCTGACCACTGACAGGGTATGCCCGTCTCTAACCCCCCCCCTCCCCTCCCCCCCCCCCCCCCGAGTCTGACGTGGTTATCCACTGACCACATACCGGGTATCACCGTCTCTTACCTCCTCCCCCCAAGTCTAACGTGGTTATCCACTGACCACGGACATGGTATTCCAGTCTCTCACTACCCCCCCCCCCTCTCCCCAGGTCTGACGTAGTTATCCGCTGACCACGGACAGGGTGTCACCGTCTCGTGATTAAATTGAAGCCGCCATTTAACTTATGACGTCATTTTACCTCGGATTATCAACTACGCAGTTATGTAAGCGTTAATCATCTCAAATTGCGAATAATTTGTATTGCTTTGCCTCGATATCAAATAGCGAATGACGTAGGTAGTTGCTATGGCTACAATGGATCTAAATAAATCACAATTAACACACTGTCGTCGAAATAGCTATATATTTTGCTATTTTTCCTCCCCCCCCCCCCCTTACAAAGATCATACAGATATCACATACTTTTTTTTGTTTGACAATATGTCAGTTATGACCCCCCCCCTGTTGTTTATTTGAGTATCGGGTTTGATGACTCATCTCTACCTGTAATTTGTTCCCGTGATATTATAATTTATTTATGGACGACTTAACGTGGGCTATTGTGATAGTTTCTGACCCCCCGGGGTTTCTGCTGTCATTACATCGAGATATCTATCATAAGCCTATTACAAGATGAGCAGGATCTAGTACAAGATGACCAGTGTCCAGTAGAGCATGTCCACTATCTGGTGGAGGTTGACCACTACCTTCAGAATGTAAACAGCAACAATAAAAAATCTCATATACAGCTTGATCAAAAACAAGGTTTCTATGTTTTCTTATAAGAATACGCCGCCAGGCGTACTGTCTTT